TCCCACAGGGCGAGATGTAAGAGTGTCTACAATTGGACCAAAGATTTTCTTCTTACGCGAAGAGACATACTCCTCTTCAATAGCAGTTTTTTATTTTGATCAATCTGAGCGACGCATCGCCTCTTCGATGGTTTGAGGTTCAGGATCATCTTCCTCGCAAGAAAGGGCTTCTATAATCATATATACAAATGATTCATCTAGTGTAATAGATGGTCTATCCCAATCGTCCATGCTAGAGAGAAAAACGACTCTTTGAGATAGATGATGTAAAATTAAATATAATGGGAGGTCGAATCACAATTCGATATAAACCATTTTCTGTAGCCAAAACTTTTTCAACAACTTTACGATTCTTCACAAGAACCAAAACCTCTTTTCTATTTAAAGTGGCGATCAAGAAGTGATAACCATTAATACGCACATTTTGGTAGCTGATCAAACTCTGAGGTGCTAAGGGTGCAAACATCGCATGCTTACATTTTATGATGGAATCCATAGGTAATTTTACCATCGTTGTGCCCTCTTGGAAACGAAACGCATTTGCTCCAGCCATGGTCATCATATTTTTAGTTTGCCAAGTTGAAGATTTTTTAATAAAAAATCGTCTATCTCGCAAGATAATATGTGTTGTTGCAAAATCAATGAGCGCATCATTTGATTCATTATTAGAGGTTCTATCATTCATATAAGCCTCTAAGTCATCAACACCAATTGAATCCATAGACGTATCCATGGTATGAACTTCACGAGCCTCAGCTCGTAATTTCTTATTTTCTTGGAATATTTTAATAAAATATTCTAAAGTACGACATGCATGTGCTAAATATCCAATCATTCCACACTTATGGCAAGAACGCATCTCTGATTTTTGTTTTCTACTATAATTAATAGTAGAACGTTTATTCTTTCCATATGGGTAGAAATGGTCTTGACTATGACTACCCTGATACTTATGAGCACGTTTCCCATGTTTATATAATTTCTTCTTAGAATTTGAAATATTAAGTGCATGAGATTCTGGAACTATAGTTCCAATAGGACGAGCTTCCACATTGTGCAAGAGTAGCTCATTTTGCTTCTCCACAAGAAGTAGATAGGACATGAGATCAGAATGACTCTGAAATTTCATGTTCATGTATTGTTGTGCAAGTACAGCAGATACAGGAGGAAATATAGAGGGAGTTTTTTCAATCATTTCTTCTTCAGAAATGCTTTGTTGACATAATTGTAATTGTGAGATAATACTATACATTTCACTATTGAAAGCATTTAAATTTGAAAAATCCAAGACATGTAAATGTGTCCAATTATGATGTGCACATGGAAGAAAAATGGTCTTTTGATGATCAAACCTAGATTTAAGATTCTTCCAAAGTTTTGCAAGATCTTCCATTTTTAAATATTGATGTTGTAATACAAGTACAAGATGATGACGAAAGAGAAGAAGTGCTTTTCAACGAATAGCAGGAGATATAGAAATACTTGTTGTAGGAGATTCTTCAAACATAATGGCATCCGAGAGTTGTTCTGCAAATAAATTTGCTTTTGCTATTTTTGCCCATAATAGATAATTGTTTCCATCTACAATCAATGGTAGAAATAAAAGAGCTTGAAAATGTTGGGATGCACTGGTAATAGTTGGAACCATAGTAGAAACAGTTGAAGATGTTGAAGCACTCATTATAAATAAATCTGTAAAGAAAATACAAGATCAAGTAGAAAAGTTGAGTAAAACCTACCTTAAAATATAAAGTCAAATAAAATAATAAACTTGAACTTGAAAAAAAAAATATATATATATATATATATATATATATATATTTTCTTTGTAAGGAGAGAGTTGTAGATTAAGGCAACATAACAACAATAAGATGGCAGCAATAGGCAGCGGTAGGGCGGCAGGGTGGCAGCGGTAGGCAGCGGTGGATAGTAGCGGCGGATGGCGGCAGGCAATGGTGGGCAGCAGCGACGTTATTGCGGCAACGACGGTGGACGGCAGCGTCAACGGCGACAAGGTGGCAGCGACAAGGCAGCAAGCATGGGGCACAAGAGGGAGTAGGTAGCAAGCAGAGGGTGGAGTTGGGCTAGATCAAGTATTCAAAGCAAGCAAGGTAGGGAGTGGAACAAGTGCTCTAAGCAAACAGCTAATGTGTGAGGGGCCAGCAAGAAGAATAAGATCATGACGCAGACACTAAGCAAGGATAGCAACAAGTTAGAAGAGTCAAAGACTAGAGCAAAAAATTGTGATAGTGTGTAGAAGAGAATCATGTTGATAACATGTTGAGAATGTTTAGAAAGACACAAGAGTAATAGTAAGTCATACACACATACAAGAGTAGTAGTAAGTCATACACACAAAAGGGTTTCTAATGAGAGAGAGCTTCACACTCAAAAATCTATTGATCTAGTTATGTCTTGTATACAAGAAGAGAAAAGAAGAGAGGATAAACAGTACTTCTCCACTAGACTCTAAATACTGTAGCTATGGTAATTACTGTAGTCTACAGTAAATATTATGGAGAGCCCCAGCTACATTTAATGATCTTTACAATTAAAAGTTGTTAAAGCTTCTGTTGGCGCAGGACAGTGACATGACACCCACCCCGAAGGTGCTCCGAGAAAGACGGCCTGAGGGGCTCACAGAAAATTCGAGGAACTTCTGTCCGACATTTGGGCTCGGTGTTGAGATGCTTCCTCGTAAGGTCACGAAATCCATGGTATAATAGGCAATGCTGCAGACATTTGCAGATATCCAATGGACAGTTCGAAGGCCACGTAACAATTGACTCAATTGTGGGCTGAATATTGTGCGACAATTCATTGCCGACTACAGTATTCAAGTGGACTGCAATTCGGGAGTAGCATACATTGTTTCAGTGCGTGATATTTAGAGGTGGAGGTTGAGCTTCATGTCTAGCGAGTGAGACTGAGAGATTGAATGTTTAGTTTTAAGGAGAAGTGATAGAGCAGTGAGTTGAATTGCACTAGAGCTAGGCAACGCATGCTGTGAATTTTTCCTGGTGGCTATATTGCAAATGCATGGTTACAAGAATTCTGCGGCGCGATTCGTTTCCGCGAACTGATTCTTACTTTAGAGTTGAGAGGCATCTTTAGGTTGTTGCTGGCTTCATGTTAACTGACTGTCACATCGGTGGAGAGAGTGAGCATCTTGAGGCGTGCTTAACAGCCATAAGTGAAACTCCGCCAAGCACGGCATTGCACAAGTTGAACAGCCCTTAGGTTGCAAGGTTTTCGCCTTATTAGGATTCTTTTATACGGCTGGAGTGCAAGAAGCTTAACCACATTTGCAGATCTCAATCGTCGAAAATGTTGGGATTCGTTGCTGTGCTGATCGGAGTGGTGGTGTTCGAAGCAACAATGGTGATGACTACGTCGCTTTGCAGTGGAGATCTTTTATCGACAAAGAGAACTCCCAAACACAGCCAAGGTGTTATGTGGAGCGGGGCCAGGGGTGGAGGTCACACGAGTTCCGTCGTTAGAGTGAAAAACCTGACTCAATGAGGAAGAGCAGACAGCTTTCTTCGCATGAGTGAAAGTACATTATTAAATCAACCTTACCTTTGAAGCGAGACCACCATGTGCTGTTTGATATATTTATCGCTTCATAGGTTGAAAGTGCGTCAAACTAACTGAAGAACTCGACATCTGTAACATATCAAAGACCAGGATCAGCTTTCGTTCAAGCTGCGACTACCGCAACATCAGCACTCACTTGGATCGCGACCTTCGTTAGCATCAGTTTTCTTTAGAAGCTTAATTGAGCTTTTTGAGATCTTTCGTGAATTTATGTACAAACTGCTGCCATGTCCCCTGATTATTCTGTTGCAAAAACAGTTGCTTCGGCTGTTTATGAGGAATTCATGTTACCTTCGCCATAGTAAAAGTACAGCGAACTACTGTGTGTAACGAAGGTAATTAATACAAATTTTGGTAATCGACAGCAGAGCTTTCTGAGTCACTATGAAATTGTGTGAAGGAGACTTTTGAGTCTTTTCTTTCAAATTTCGATGCAAGTCAGCCGAGACGGATTGTCCCATAATTTTTCCAACGTGGCAAAAATGATTTGTAGCGTAGAATTCACGGGATACAATATCCAGCAAATTTTAGGTAGCTAGAGTTTCAACTGTCATGGCCTTACTTCCGTTTAGAGTATCTGTTAATCTTCAATCCAATCAAGACTGCGTCATATAATCATGAAATAATCACCAGCGTTATATCTATGCAATTTGTAAATGTTTCATAATGAATGCCAGATGCTTGAAGCAATTACATTAACCTCTCTCAAGTTAAGAGACAGACTATATCAGATTTGTAGATCGCCAGAACATCCAAGATATATTGTGCGAATGAATTTCCTTAAGTTGTAAGAGATACAGCAGCTTTGAGTGAAAACGCTCAGCTGTTGTGAATGCGTTCTCAATTTTAAGCCCTCGTACAGCGCAACTTCAGTATATTTTCCCTGACCGTAAAATGATCAGTGAGCACATGCTTATTACAACTTGCACACAAGCTTCATCCGAAAAAAGCATAACTTCAGGGCCCGTTGTGTTCAGTGTTCAATGTTTATCAAAACGGTTTGCAGACATCTGTTCCTGCAGAATGAATTATTTGTTGTATTTGCGCCTTTCAGATGCTGGTAAGAGCATTACACTCAGAATGTTTCAAAATACTCACGGTGTGTTTATTCTGAAACAATGCTGTCAAGAGCATTGTACTCATAGTTTGGAATTAACAATTCGTGAAAATATTTGCCCGATGCACAGTGAATTATCTTCAATGGTCTTCGTGTTACCAAGAATAGATCAAGTACGTGTACAACTTACATATTAGTCTAACGACTCAGATGGTGCACAACATTCAGAAACAGAGGAAACCATAGAAACATTTTTTTGGTAAGAGCTCGTGCGCAGACTCTAGAAACATGTGAAGCAACGGCTCGTGAACCAATTCGTCATATTGGGTTCATGATGTAGGTAGTGTTTCTACAAAAGAAATACCTGGTCGAATTGTTTATTGATTTGCACGAAGTTGTTTTACATCTGTAACGCCGACACTCACTCTTTACAACAAAGAGACCCACGAAGTCGCTTGATCATGAGATCATGCGAGAATGACGACCATACTTAAGAATTTCATACGCTAAGAGGTAAACGGAAGCAAATGGTTAACCCCAACCCTACACTAGACCGCACTAAATGTTTTAACATACTAGTTTACAATTACATCAAGGCTCTGTATTCTCCTTGTCGTCAATGAAAAGATATTATGTCTCGTGACGTAGCGCTCGCTGGTGACTTCTTCCAAAATGGGCTCCTATTACTGGGTACCCACCATCGATTGGAAAAAGACAAAAATTTAGGTGTGAAGAGAGAAGCCACGAAGAAATTTTACGCAGCAAAACATCCGAATTTTACAGGGAATTTTCCTGTCGCCCTGATCTTGGCCGCAGTCTCTTCAGTCTTGAGAATGTCCATACCCTTCTTGGCTGCTACCATGGCTCTCTTCTCCTCAGCGACCTTATGAGCAGCAGCAACTTCGTTCTTCATCGCTTCCTGATATTTTGCCCTTAGCTTTTCGAGCTTCTCCTCCTTCTGCCTGAGACGAGCTTCGGCTTTCTTCTTCATCGTCGTCTCTTCTGCTGTAATCTTTTCTTCCTCTCTGTGCGTTCTGTAATAAACTAAAAAAAGTGAGTAAAAACATCATGTAGTTTACCTTATGTGAGCCATGCAAACTTTATGGCTATGATTTTCATATGATAGCGCATGCAATGACCTCAAATGTAGTGTATACCAATACTGAGCATAACCTCCTCCACAAACAAGTAGAATATACCATGAGGATTTGGATTCTTAAACTATTCGTTGGACAGAGAAGTACCTGCTCTCAATCTTCTCTCTCTGATTTTGCTCCCACGCCGCGACATTGGATACCAACTTATCATGCTCAATTTTCTGAGTAGCCTTCTCCATGTGAATTATAGTGCCGGGTTCAGTTGCGGGCTCCTCTGCCTTCTTCGCTTCGACGGGTATTACGGCAGTCTCAGCGGCGGGCGTAGGAGCTGCAAACAGTATGTATGCCATTAGAAAAATGTTCTCGTGATCCTACTCAAGGGTTGTTCTCGAAAGTAGTTGAGAGACTAAACACAGCAATACCAGAGCTTCGACCGCATATGATGAAACAAGCGGAACGCTAGTTTTGGGTGAGAACCAACCCCGAATGCAAGCATGGACATATCAGGTCGCTACATCATGACGAACCAAAACATTCTCGTGACAACCGACCGAAAAATCGCCAGCTACGAACACGGGAACTCAGATAGCCGTACTTACACCAAAAGATAGACAGCGTAGGTCAAAAATTATTCAGCAGAAAGTTGTTCACTAGTGAATAATTTGACCCGTGACTGTGAGAATAAAACACCCAACTGTGAAAAATGTATCAAAGCTCCTGCACCAATAACGCTCTTAGAATTTCGTGAGCACGCCAGAACACGAGCAGCAGTGTGTGTATCAGTTTACAAACCTTTAAAAAGCAGGATCAATGTGCGTCAAATTAATTATGTTCAAGAACCTGTCACTTACCCTGACTAATCGCTTTCGACTCCACAGCAGGGGCAGCAGGAGCAGCTGCAAGAGCGAAAGAAATATACTTTAAGAACACTTGTTTCCACCAACATCACCCCCATCGCCCTCAAAGCGAGGCTGATACCGTAATAACGATTTTCAGGGCAATCCTCACAATATTCAAAATGAACTTTAGAACTCAGAGGATCTCTATCTCTTCCCCTACTCTACACATCTCCTACACGACATTCAAGAGAGGGAAAACTCCTTTTGGGAGATACCGTCTCACTTGTTCTACGAACGGGGTTCCCAGGGATAGTTGGGTTAAAAACTCGTGGGAAAATCAAAGCCATCCGAAAGCAAAAGAGATACATCCAACACACATTTCGATGCAGCGTCAAGAGATGATCTATCAAATGGGTACCTGCGACTTCATGAGTGGGCGCAATGGCCTCAGTACCAGCAGATGGTGCTGTAGCCATCTCAACACGATCCCCTGGAAGGAGGAAAAATAAATAAATAAATAAATAAAAAATAACGGGCCTCTCCAAGCTTAAGAATCCACGTTTGAGAACTCCACACTACACTAAATATACCTCGACAACAAGCAAACGCAGCTTGTATCTCCTCACTTGAACCCCACAAGACCAGGTGGTTCTGAGTAACGCAACAGCAGACAGGCTACTCAAGTGAGAAAACTGAGCCAAGACGAATCACTAATAATGTGTGCAGGCTTGGAATGAAGAGGTGCAGCATCGAGCAGGGCACTATGAGTGGAGGGGGGACGACGCGCGAGGAGGCGATGGGTTCGGAGCCGGCGCGCATGGATGGAAAAGCGAGCGTGGGGCACATGGTTGCACTGCTGGGACCTGTGTTGTTTGGTGGCGCTTCTCTCACACATCTGTACCACGCTATTGGCCGATGTCGTAGCTGATCACTAGCTCCATCCTCGTCGTCCGCATCGTGAATCCGAGCGCAGCACACCGGCAGGATCAGATCTGGTCCGGCAGATCAAGACAAAAAAACCTCCTCTTCGACTCCTCCCCGCTTCAATAATCGCTTTCGTCCCCTGGCAAGAGCCGGGTCCACTTATCTCTCCCACCGACCCATCAATTCTACTTCCTTAATCGTCCTCCTGATTGACGACTGCGCGATCCCATTGCACTTCCAAAGCAGACAGCGGCCCAGCACATTCTCGCGAGAGATTGGGGCGACAACTTTTCCCCACCTGGCCTCGTAAATGGCTCCGCCATGACCAGAACTAGCATTCATCCATTTGGATGATTTAATCGGCGTCTCTTATCATCTATCCAACATCTCCATCACTGGTAGCCCAGTTGCAGTAATTAGCACATGATGTAACTAGGACTTAGGGAACTATGCCACGTGTCATGCGTTTTTTGAAACGTGCTAAACCTTGGCTTTGGGGTCCTTGAGGTGCCTATAGCCACTTGAAATTATCTTTATAATAATAAAACCCTACAGAATGATTTTTTAAAAAAAATTGAAGTAACAATAATAACGAAACTCCAAGACTAAAAGTTCTAAAAAGATCCCTTGTTTACAACATTACAAAAGGTTGCTTTTCCAATATGTTTTTGATCTAGTTTAAGGGGGTTGATTCAGGGACCCACATCGACTAGTCTTTTCTGGACCTCATCTTTCCATCTAAGCCCTCCAACTTGTGAGTGCCGTGTCAAAGGAAATTGACCGCATTAGTGGTGATGTGAACACAGAACCACACAACTTTGCAAATTTACAGCTATTTTGTTTTTCTTATTGCTTTTAATGGGTCACACAATTGTGAACAGGATGGGGCAAGATATCTCTTGTGATCTCTTGCCATGGATGTTCTCCTGGATGGATGTTGATGGACATCCATGCAACACAAACAGCAGGCAAGCAAATAAGGATTTTAATTTTATTTCTATTTTTTCCTCTTTATATACATGTATATATATATATATATATATATATATATATATAATCTTGTGTAGCATTACATTAGAAAATCTGAGTGAATTTTTATTACATTTTTTTGGAATCTACTATGTTGTATGAACATATGATTGATTAAAAGTTTTGTAGCTTTTATAGTTTTGAAATTTTTATTTTCATATTGTTTTTTATTACAATATACATACAGAAAATGTTTCTATCACCTAACCCTTGCAATTTTTATTTTTAAAAAATAAAAAAATAAAAAAATAAACTTTTGAAAATATGAACTCAATTCAAAACATCAGCATTATTCCTTACAAACACATAGATATCTAACAAATCCATATAAGCTTTAGTCTATTAGACCTCAATATTCATGTCCAGTATAACTTTACAAGCACCAGCTTTAAATTTACAATTGCAAGACTTCAACACCAAGTACACATATGTGCAAAAAAAAAAATTAATACCCCCCCCCCCTCTATTCTTTGGATCAACTTAGGACTTTCTTGGGATAAGGATTATGGTTCAAATTTCTTGCACAAATTTAGTCAAAAGAAATTGAGTAAATAAATAATCAAATCTTGTTATTGTTATTCAAAAATTGAAGTGTAACCTTTTCTGCACAAGGTGGAAGCAGATGCTGTGCTAAACTTGTATCTAGTATACTATAGATGCAAAATCTCTGTGCACATTTTTCTTAGTTGATGGAATTGCATTAGAAAAGTAAGGTCAAAAGTAAACAAAAAATTCACCCATTATCCAACACCATCCACCCATCAACTTCATCACCACATTGTCACTTGTGAATTGGCAGTTTTAGTTCTGTTGTTATTAGTACTTTAAACAGACTGGATTTAGCTTGTAAGTTTTCAATTCATATCAGTATCCATGGTGCTAACTATTGCTGAAAATGCAATTAAGAAAAAATTAATCACATGTCAAATTACCTCCTTACGAATGAAACTACAATGTTTCAATGGATACCCTTTTTTGGAGACCATCAAGTCACACTGATTTTTCACAAACTAATTAGGACCCCAACTGCCACTCAAGAGCCTGTGAGGTCCTGACATCAATCTCAAAGTGAAGGTAGACTCTATCACACAGTGCCATAACCCTAAACTTGCCAGGACATAAACCAACAAAGACCTCTTCTTCTGTTGGGCGAACACTCTCTTTGGGACCGTGGGAGTTGTCTGCGGTGCGAACACTGGATTTTATGATGTGTTAGTTAGTCTGTTGCCACCTCCACTTTCTCCTTTTTCTTTTTTCTTTTTTCTTTGTTTTTTTTTTTTTTTTTGTTTTTTTTTTTTTTTTTTACTGTCTTTTTGTGTCTCCCTGATCTAGCAGGCCCTGCAGCCTCCTGCACTGTGCCCACAGAGAGACATGCAGGCCATGATCTCTTCCAACCAATACATTTAATCCTTTTTGCAGTGGCCTTCATGGGATCCACTGACTGCTATCAATTGCATTTCTTCTATTCTGCTAGACTGTTTGTCTTTTTCAATCCAATGCTTTTATTTTTATACATTTTAATTTTTTATATTATTATTATTATTATTATTATTTATTTATCAAGAAGTAAATTGACTATAGAGTAAGAAATTTTATTTAAACTCTCAACTCCCACTTCACCACATTCGGACAAATTTCGTAGACATGTGTATATATATATATATATATATAATTTTAATGCTCCAAAATGTGTAATTATAGACCACCTTTATTGATTCTTGTACCAAGTGCGGTATTGGAACCCAACTACCTTATGGTTGCCATATGAAATAAAAACCATAAACTGATATCAATTTGTTGGAATAGTATTGAAAATGTTTGGAGAGACAAAAGAGTAGCTAGAAGTAATGTACACACACACAAGAGAGTGTATAGATCAACAAGGTCATTTGCACACACACACACAAGAGAGTGTATAGATCAACAAGGTCATTTGCACACACACACACAAATGTACACACACACACAAGAGAGTGAAGAGATCAGCAAGGTCATTTGCAAATCCAATTTTCTTGATCTTAAATGCTTAAGCAGTAATTAAATCATGGATATAACTAAAATACTTTGGATCAATATGCTTTCTCTTGTCGCCTTTAATGAAACCAACTTGCATTCATATAATACAAGCGCTATTGTCTTCATACAAGATAGTTAAAAAATTATTATACAAAAATTCTTAGGTTGGCTAAATTGATAGCAACTAAATACGTTCTCAAAATGCTTCATATAAGGTAATAATTTTTGCATGGTTAGATGAAGTTGCAATTATAGTTTGTTTCATTAATTTCTATGATATAGCAACTCCATGTCTTAAGAATACATATCCTATTTGAGATTTAGCTATTGCAATATTAGATTTATATCTTGCATCATAATATCCAACTAATTTTGGATCTACAAATTGTGTATAGTATAATTTCAAGTCTTTAGTACCTTTTAAATAACATAATAAATATTTGATGTCATTTCAATATCATAGTATTCAATGTGCATTGTATCTTGTAAGAATACTAACTGCAAATGTAATATCTGCTCTTGTAGATGTGTCTAAATATAAAAGCACTTCAACCACTACAAGATATAGATATTGATCTCTCAATATTTCTTCTTCTTCCTTGTATGGATTATATGGATCATCACCATCACAAACATATCTAACTATTAGTATTTACAATAGATAAGTATCAATCATATTAAATCTTTACAAGATTTATCTAATATACATTACTTAGTAGAAAAAAATGCTGCTATCTATAAAATGTTGTCATAGACATACACATGTAAACCAATAATTACTTATATGATTTAAATAAAAGTAGATAAAAGTAGATTAATTTCATAATATCTTCTATGGAAACTTTTTAAAAACTTTATAGATACTACTTTGACTTTATAAGTGTCTTTAATTAAATTTTTAGGTTAAAAACATGGTTAACAAGTTGGCCATGTACCACATATATTAGTAGCTTGAAGAACAAGCTAACTATGTGGCCCACACATAGAAAATTTTTCTTATAAGCTAAGACATGTGCCCTGCAAAGTCAACACATATTAGAAGTCATATAGAACATTGTCACGTACCTTCTAGTTAGATAGTATATATAGAGGCAAGAGTAAAGCCCTCTTCACTCTTATCTACTTCTTTCTTGCTTCTAGTCTAGATTTAAGAGTCTCTAATTTCTTTATCTTTTGGCAATAGCCATTCTAATTTCTTTTTAATATACATATTACTTTATTATTATTTTGTTATTTTTCTTTTAATATAGATTTTTTAGGTTTATGCATCTTCTTGTAATTGATGTCTTTGACAGATGCATAATTTGAAGATTAATACAAAAGTTATTTTTCTTAGCATTTTCATTTCAAATTCATAAATAAATAAGTTAGTAGTTGCAACACATGCATATCTAGTACCTACTAGATTAAATCATGAACGTATATATTAATGAACAATAAAGGAGTTTTATCTTATTTAATAAACAAACAAAGGATTAATGGATCACTTACAAATTTATTTTTAATTAAATAATATTAGAAATATTGATATCATATGTGTCTAAATTATTTTAGACTATACAAGGCCTTGTGTAATTTAATATTATAATATCATTTGAAGTAGGTCCATTTAGAGTTCATATTTTCAAATTAGATAGAATTTTCATATAAATATCTACATCAAGAGAACTATACATATATATAGTTACCATATCTATGAGACATATCTTAAAGGTGGCAAGAATTGTCATTCTAATAATATATTGGAATATAATTGAATCCATGAATGAAGAATATGTAGATTTATAATCAATGCCAAATCATTGGATAAATCATTAAACAAAAAGATGGTCTTCATAGTGGATTATTTGATCCTTAGCATCTCACTTGTATCTTAATATCATCTTATATGCCACAAGACAAGATATAAGAGTATCAACTTTTTGTATCAAAACCTAGATATCTTTCAATTACACTGTTAGATTATTACAAAATTTTACATATACTTAGTATACTCAATTAATCAAGCATTGTCAAATTTTAAACCATAGATATAACACCAATTTTAAGAACTAGCTAAGAGTGCTAGCCCTAATTATATTGCATAAATTCCAAGTCATGAATACAAATCATGAATTTAAACAACAATTGCAAAGTCAAACCTTATTGTACAAAACAAGCCTTATGTCTTTGGAATAAGTTCTAAGCTAGCTCTCCAATTCTAATTGTCGATTT